TAAAGAAAACTAAATGCATGATCATGACTAAATCTGCACAATCAAATATCCAATTGACTATTGAAGATACTGCAATTGAGAGTGTTAATAACTATAAATACTTAGGAATATGGATAACATCAGATGTAGACCAAACCAAAGAAATTAAGACACGTATTGAAATAGCACGTACATCATTTATTAAACTTAAAAAGTTTCTTTGTTGTCGGGATATAAGGTTAGAACTACGCCTGAGAATGCTTCGATGTTACGTGTTCTCTACTCTTCTTTATGGTCTGGAAGCTTGGACACTAAAACAAGTTCATCTGAATAAGTTGGCCGCCTTTGAATTTTGGTGTTACAGAAGAATCCTACGAATATCATGGATTCAAAGAATGTCAAACATGGAAGTAACTAGAAGGATAGGAAATGAGGCGGAAATAATATTAACCATTAAAAGACGAAAACTTGAGTATTTGTGACATGTGATGAGAGGGCAAAAATACGCATTATTACAACTTATTATGCAGGGCAAAATCCGAGGAAAGCGAAATGTGGGAAGACGAAGAATATCCTGGCTTAAGAACTTGAGGGAATGGTTTGAATGCAGTAGTGCAGAACTTTTTAGAGCGGCAGTCAACAGAGTCCGCATAGCCATGATGATTTCCAACCTTCGATATAAGATGGAACTTAAAGAAGAAGAAGAAGAGCTCTTAAACTAGCTAATTTTTTATTCCCTTTTGCTATTCTGGCTTCGAGCTCCCATTTCTCTTTTCCATTTTCATCGAAAACTACACCCAGGTACTCAAATTTGTTCACCCTTTTAAAGCTATATCTTTTACCACTTACAGACCTCACACTAAAGTCTTCTTTTTTCCCTTCTGTCTCTCTCATGATCATATATTTGGTTTTGTCTTCATTTAGTTCCAATCCGAATTTCTGTGCTTCTTCGATGATTTTCTTCACAACTCTTCTTAATTCTTTCTCGGTTTTTATTCTGTCTCAAGCCTTTTGCAACCGTAAATTGATCTGATATGTGACCCTGCCAAAAAATTTCATACGTAGAGTTATTTAATGTCATTTTAACTAGTCGGATCAGTTTCTTTGTATACCCAAATGTTCCATTGCTCGATACATCTTGTGGTAAGGTAGGGTGGATAGTATAATACTAATTATTTGAGTTCGGTGCTATGTGTTTCCATTTTTTTTAATTTTATTAAAATTCTGTTATTATAATGTTCCTGTAAGTCATCCAATGTGAAAATAGGTACGTATAGTCCAACAATGTGACTTTTTACCCTGCATATACCTGCAAAATAATGCTACACATAATCAATGAGAGACTGAACTTTCCTACAAAATGAAATCAAGAACAAACTGAATTTACCAAAAGTAGAGGTACTCGAGAATACCTTTAGAACGTAAGACAGATACTAGAAAAATCTAGTAGTAAACGTACCACAACACTTAATTTCCTTTATAACTGAACTATATGAACGCACTAGTTAGTGCTTAACACACTTTCAAACGAATTCCATCCATAACAAGGTGTCAGACAATAATGTATACTGTCTCCACAATTATTTAATATATATGGGGAGCATATTATGAGAAAAGCTCTTGAAGGTTAGGAAAAGGGCATCGCAATGCCGAAAAATAAACTAACTACGTTTCGCAGATGACACAATACTTCTTGCAAATAGTCAATTGATCTCATACGGCTGGTTGAATACGAAAGTCAAATATTTGGTTGACTAAATTTAAACATATTAAAGACAAAAATCATGATAACTAGGTAACAATCATCCACTCATAACCACGATTGACTGGTTTGGGATTGTATACTGCTCAAATGGTACCGAAAGTGCGAATTGCCAACCTTCTTAGAGGAGATGGCACATGAAGAAGAAGACTGCTCAAATGTAATATTACTGTTAAGATTAGTAAATTTAACTTAATGGAATTGTATGTATTTACTCATTGCTATTTTTCCCATAACTTTGCCAAGTCCGTAAATTTACCTACTGGCAACTACAAAGTAGTCTTTCAGTTTGTAAAATTACCAGCGCTAAAATTTGATCCGAATTATAGTAATGACTTTGCCAATGTATAAAACTGCTCAGGCTAATGTATTTTTAACAACTTAGTAGTAAATTTTTACCTACTACTTACTATTGTAGTCGACTTTACACTACATGATCTATCCTATGACAATATCATATCGATGGCCTGTTTCCAAAAGTGGCTAACTACAACGAAATTTTAAATTTAAATCTGTCAATCAAATCAAGTCTTTCGAATCGAATTATTTTTTCTCTATAAAATATTAGGTAGTAATACTGACAAACACTTTAGATAGAATAATAATAAATAGTTCTTTAAATTATTCGTCTGGTTAGAGTTGTTTCTAATAAAATGCACGTAGCTACATTTGGAACTCAACTTTATTTTAAATTGAAAAATGAATACTGGTTATCTACAATATTACAACTACAGTAAAATTTATAAAACTAAGTAATAAATAAACAACGGTGTAAACTTCTTGTAAAATAAATATTTCATAAAAAATCTTACTCTTCCTGGTCATTTATATCGGGTAATACCGCCTGGTTCTCAATATTTGGATGTCCAATTAAGTCTCTAAACAGGCTCTGCAATCGTCGGGAAAATTTGCGGCACTACTGATTTCTTTTAAGTTTTGCAGCCGATATTTTTCTTTTTTCTTCAAACAATTTTCCTTGGTGGACGTAACTCTTCGACCCCTACGGGGAACAATCAATATTTTATGAAGTATTTCTTCATCTAAATAGGTTTTAACATGCATCACAAAAGGATTACCTTTTTCATAACGAATTCACTTAATGTTACGCCAAATAATCACCATTAACAACCATTATAAGTTTTGCAAGGGGTTTCCAATCAATAAAGGTAAGGTCAGGTGTTGTATAAACTTCATATTTTGGAGCATTTCATTTTGCGTTCTTTGCAATAGTTACCCATTTATGCGTCAAGTATACAGGAATATTTTTGGCCGCCGTTTCTATTCTACCATGCATTGAGTCACATTCGATTTGAGTGTGACCAGAGATAAGAAATTTTTGATCGATTACTCCAATAAAACCTGAACAGCATACAGAAACATGGCAGCAACAAATTGATTTTTGTTCTGACAATCAATGATCCGAGGGCCTACGTCCTCAATCTCGGTCCACATATTTACCAGTATTATTTCCAATATTGAAAAGTGTAAAATTATAAGTAGCAAGTTTTGTTTTATAAAATAGAACCGGATTTGTTGGATTCGTTGGAACGTACAGGACCTGTTGCAGGTGAAAATTACAGGCGTGTATGGTTCGCATGTAGTAGTGAAGTGAATAGTGATCAGTATAGTAGTGTCTGGGGGCTCGGAAGACTGAGACCTCGTAAGCCCTGAAGAAGACATCAGAGAGGATGTCGAAAGTTCGGTGCAATGGAAATCAACGCGGTTCAAGCCAGAAGACTGGTGATATAGACGGGGCTATATTATATATAAATACCCTTTTTAAACTGCCGCCCGCAATAAACTTCTTCAGAAATTTACAATTTATGATTCAAAAGTGTCAGTGTAGGGGATTGACCATTCTCACCTAATAATAAGAAGGTCCTAATATACAAGATGTGGAAAGTGCTTTAAAAGTTGTAAGAAACTTTATCCAAAGACAAAACGCAAATGAAGCAGCATACAACTGTTTCACATAATATTTAGAAAATATGATAGATAGAATACTGGACAATTTAAAGCAGTCAACAATAACAGACTTCTTTCAATTGCAGAAGCAATAGTTTATGTTATCCTTGAAAATAAGATTTACACAGATTTACAGAATACAGATTTTTTGTTTTAATGTATATCATTTTTCAAAAACGCCATTCAAACTATATTTAGCATCTTAAGCCGGGTACACACATGCCAGTAAATTGGGAAAGTAGCTGGCATGCCAGTTGCTGGCATAGGCCAGTATCTGGCAAGCACACACAAAACACATTTGCTAGTAATCGGCATGCCAGTAGCTCGCTTGCCTCTACTGGCAAGGCGGAAAAGCAGGGTAGATTTTTACACATGCCATTGCTAGTAAACAATCGAGCGGTTTTCATCTGAAACTAAAGTACTTGTCTTGTAATTAAAAGTTTTTAAGTTTTCAACAAAAAAAAAGAGGAGATCCATGGAAAGTATTAGGAAAAAATTCAACAAGTAAATAATACTGATGACCACAGATATTGTTAGAAATTTAATAATGAATCCCAAGTGGAACTCTAAAAAGAAAAAAAATTCGGTGGGAAATTGGATTGGTAGGCGAGCAATTTTTTATTTTGACCTTTATCTCTTTTATCATTCTCATTTACCCATACTCATTTCCACTTGAATTTTTATGTAACCATTGTCACGAGCTATTTTATTTTTTTATAGAGATGATTTAGAATTCAAAAGACACTTGAATTCTCTATATATAGCAATAAATTTGATGGTTTTTTCAGCACCCTAACGAAACATTTTTTTAATTAACAAGTTTAAAAATAAAACGAATAATTTTATTACCAACACAACAAATCTGACAATTCTCTGCTACCTACTGGCATGCCCATAGCCGTAGCGCGTGTTCACACATGCCAGTGACACTCTCCACGCATGCGCTTTGCATCTCACAGCATGCTACTAGAAAGAAAAATCACATTCTTTGTGATTAGCCAGCATGCCAGGAACTAGCATGCCAGTTAACATACACACCTGCCAGTTTGGGGACAGTAGCTAGCGCTTGCTAGGTACTGGTATGCCATTGTGCTAGTAACAGGCATATGTATCTCCGGCTTTATATTGCTCCACAACACAATAGCTTCACTATAGGAAGTTAATGTTTTAGAAAACTACATATTCATATGTATGCACAGTATTATTGTTGTTTGATATAACAAGATCAGCTTATAACGAGGTATTAGTATATATAGTAATAGATATATTCCAAGTCAAATAAAATACATATAAGTAAAAATGCAAAATATATTAAACAAAATTATACTAAAAGTAATAAATAGCTTTTCAGGTGACTAGAATACAAATTTTCCTAATTGATGTCAAAATGATAAAAATAATGACAAGAGCACTTTCACAGCCAAACAATAAAATTTAAAGACACTTCTAAGGTTAGTATAAATCTCCTAACTCTTTTTAATTTGTTGTTTAACTAAATGATATTCTAGTTCTATCGGTGGCGTACGGAATGGATGTGGTTTCTGTTTCAGTTTGAGAGATTCTTTTATTTCAGGAAGAGCAACCCTGTCGTGAAAATCAAAGCCTGTTATATAACTAAACAGTCCATTTGGTGTGGCCACATCTGGTATGTCTTTCTTGGAAAAAAACTAAAAAAACATTATATTATTTTTGGTGATTATGTTATTTTTGTGTACACTATCCACTTTTTTTCCCACTAACAGTGAGGAAAATTACCACTACTTACATCTGTTATATTGATACAATCTCTATATAAACATAATATTGCTTTTTCATGGCTATTCTCGACACATTCACTGACATCAATAAAATAGCATTTGTCTTCATACAATAAGATATTATCTTCAGTTAGATCAGCATGTACCAAATTTACCTTGTTAAAAAGAATTTTCATATATTCAATCACCTAAAAGAATATTGTTAGACTTACAATACAATTAAGTAACATTACACACAATTTTTAAAATATGTACATTGACAGTTAAATGTCAAAATCTAATAAGTCAAAAATTGGACATTTTTAGATTAATGAGGATTTGGGTTGAAAATATTGTTCCAGATGTTCTGGCAAAACCCTAGATTCATGAAAACTATGTTTTGGTATGTTTCTTTCAAAGTAATATTTAAATAAATTTAAATAAATCCAAAATAAAAAATATGTACTAGAAGATTTTTTGTTCTCCTAAAGTTGTAAATTTTGACTTAAGGTTTTTATAGTTAACCATTGATAGATTACATTTATTGGTATTTGTTAAATTAAAGCTGAAATTATATGTTACAATATGTAGCAATACATTACCTGTTCATAAGCATTTATCCAATCAATGTCTAACTTTCTGGCATCCTTTAATGTTGGAGCAGGTATCTGGTTTTTTCCAATAAACTCCATCACCAATACATGTTTTCGAAGTGTTACTACTTTTGGGCAAGGTATTCCAGCCTCTTGCATTAGCATCAGGTTGGTCATTTCCTTCTCAGCCCAAATACTTATATTCCTTGTGGAAACCTGTCTTCCTTTTCTGTTCAGAAATCTATGATCTGATTCGCCAAATTTTTCACATCCTTTGAAGTCAGATAGGATTGTTTTATAGACTTTTATGGCACATTCTTTCGGCAAGTTGGAATCCAAAAAGGATGAGGGATCTGAATTGGCATGAAGGATTATTGATTCCCTACCTAAAAATCATTTGTTACATTATTATAGCTTTTGCCACTAACTCTTTTTATTTAACAGAATACTGATTGATTCTAAGGCTGTTTAAAGTTTGCCAGGTCAGCTAGTCCCATATAAACACAATATTTAAATATCTTTAATATAGGGATGGTTAAATGTCATAAGTCAAAAATTGGCAATTTTTAGATTTATTAGAATTTGGGTTCAAAATATTGTTCTGAATGTTCTGGTAAAACCCCAGATTCATGACAACTAAGTATTGTCATGTTTTTCAAAGTAGTAATTGAAATAAATACTAAGAAAGAAAAAATTTGTTTGATGTGTCAGTTGTGTGAGTTTTTAAAGCATGTCTCAATATAATTAGTACCAAAGTAGTACTATACATATTATCACTTGTCAAACCAGTGTTGATCTTTGATACCTAACATTTTTAACAGCTGTAAAACCGAACCCAAACATAAATTTATCAAGAATGATAGATTATAAGAATGAAAAAATATGACAAAATGTTGAATAATTTTATATGATGTAAGATTAAAAATACCTTTTTAACTTTATTAGGACTTAGAATATTATACATTAAATATTCAAGTAATCAGTAAATTTGAATAAAATTATTTTTTCAAAATCAAAATTTGTCATACTAAACTTACCTTCACCAATAATACCATTAATACTTTTCAAAAGTTGTTTTTCTATCATTTTATAAAGTATAGCATATGTAAACTTTTCTGGACAGCATTCTATAGTTTCACTAGAATGCTTATGTGGAAATATTTTTAATCTACAGACTCTTTGTATTTCACTCATCACTTCATAATTATTTGTTACCATATGTCTTTTATGTTGAACTTTGTTAGGACACTGTGGATTTAAATCCAATTCAGGTTCTAAATTTTCAAATCTATCCCAGAATTTTCTTTCGTTAGCATCTAAAATTTCTTCTTCACCATCAGAATCACTGACGAAATCTAGTAATAAAGGAAAAACATTATAACAACTTTTAAAATGGTATCCTGGCTTAATAGATTGAGAATTAAGTAATTTACAACTTACCATTATTAATAGAATCTTCTCCACAATTATAAAGCAATGTCGAATATTTATTAAATTCTACTTTATGGGATTGGTCATCATAATGGGTCTGCAGCATCCTGACCAAAGCTTCTTCAGTATCACAAATATTATCAAACATAGTTTTTACACTATCAGGTAATTCTACTGCAGTTTTTAAGTCTTCATTATTCTTTTGATTCAGTTTTTTGTATTCTTTGATTTGCAGTTGTCTGGCCACCTCTTCAGATAGGATTTCTTCCAGATTTACTGGATCAGGTTGCTCAATTTTTGCCCATGGAGACGTCATATTGCTGTGGACACTTGTTAATACTTTGAATATACAATGCTAATACCACCTAATACTAAAACTAAACTAAGAGCAATCAAGTTCTAATGGCAATAAATACTATGCTCACATCACACCCCCCTACACTATGTTCAAGTTGTTTTCATAGAAATATTAGGCATTGTTGTGCAATATAAAGAAATTTTGAAATTTATAAACAAATATTTTGACAGGTCCCCTTTTGAAATGACATGACTCATGACTTATGTTATGTTACATATCTCTACTTGTTCTCGGACGCGACTAGTTCACGTTCGAGACGCATCGCCCCGCCCCTTATTTTTCCCGTTGGCCCCTCCCTGACCTGGAAATCCCTAATCGCTACTTCAGAAAGTATAAAATTAGGCGATTTTCAGGTCAATCAAGTCAGTCCTTCACGGGCTCTCCGAGAGCTTACTGCTCTCGGGGCTCTGCTTCCTTTTAGCTTTCCCTACTCTGTGGCTGAGTAATGATTCAACAATATTTGGTGTTTTTATTTCGACCACCTTTTTTTTGTTCATGTAAGAAATATCTTGCCTTTGTCAAGGCAAGTCATCCAGAGAAGAGAACCTGATGGTTTATTTCGGCTAAAATATTATTTTGTCGTGTAAGAAATAACCCGTCTTTTTCAAGACGGGTACATCAGCTGAAATTTCTACAAGTCTGTACCCAGAAAATAGACTTGGGTAGAGGTGCTTTCGTAGACGTTCTCGAAGCCCTCTACAGAGCACCCAGAGGCAGATGATTGGCGTTAGACCATTTTTATCACGTCCCCTGCGGTGACATGGCGCCCGACAACGTGGATTATTCCACTCCCACGACCCAGCTCGACTCGCAGCAGAAGGCTACAACCATTGACTTCAACATGGGTTGAAGTCAAGAGAAGAATGGGGAGAACCACGGAGTGTTAGCTAACACTCCGACATTGAGGCCTTCTGCAGACCGGATGCCTTCGACGTGCAGGCGCCTTTGACGAGCCAGTCTTCTTCGAAGTTAGAAGCCCCAGATGCCGATGAAAGTCCCGGAGTAGACCCAGTCATCGCCCCCCTACCGAAAGTGGTTGGACGACCACGTAGGCTTCGGCACACTGGTACCCTACGAAACCCCGTCGGATATGGCAGATGGGATCCGGACGACCGAGAAGAAGCCGAACCCGTCGAAGAAGTTGGTACACCGATCGAGAATGGACCTGTAGGAGCCGGAGATGCCGTCAACACCACCGACCTCCCTATTAGCGCTGTGTTGTGAGTTTTTCCAAAGACAATTTTTTACGTTATTTACATTTTCATGTATTTTTCTTTCATATATTTCATGCATTTTTATGTATTTTCCTTATTATTGTATACACAATTTTGGTATTCAATAAATTTTTTCCCGGCCACAGAGTCTCCAGAGGAGGGAGGATGTTCTCGGACGCGACTAGTTCACGTTCGAGACGCATCGCCCCGCCCCTTATTTTTCCCGTTGGCCCCTCCCTGACCTGGAAATCCCTAATCGCTACTTCAGAAAGTATAAAATTAGGCGATTTTCAGGTCAATCAAGTCAGTCCTTCACGGGCTCTCCGAGAGCTTACTGCTCTCGGGGCTCTGCTTCCTTTTAGCTTTCCCTACTCTGTGGCTGAGTAATGATTCAACAATATTTGGTGTTTTTATTTCGACCACCTTTTTTTTGTTCATGTAAGAAATATCTTGCCTTTGTCAAGGCAAGTCATCCAGAGAAGAGAACCTGATGGTTTATTTCGGCTAAAATATTATTTTGTCGTGTAAGAAATAACCCGTCTTTTTCAAGACGGGTACATCAGCTGAAATTTCTACAAGTCTGTACCCAGAAAATAGACTTGGGTAGAGGTGCTTTCGTAGACGTTCTCGAAGCCCTCTACAGAGCACCCAGAGGCAGATGATTGGCGTTAGACCATTTTTTATCACGTCCCCTGCGGTGACATACTAGCGTCTAAACAACATATTGTCTATTCGCTTAGCTAGGGCATATTTTGACAGACTCATTGTAGGAAACCTACAACACAACAATTCCTACTTCTCAGTATAAATAGCTCAAGTATACTACTATTGCAGACCTCTCTCTTTGAAAAAAAGAAGAATTATTCTAAATACTGGAAGTGTATAGTAATTCCATCAAATTTTCCCTGTATATTTAAAATATAATATTTGAATTGTTACAATTTAAAATATTGTAGTAAATATTTGTATTATTCGCGTTGTTTATTTAATTTAATATTGTTTTATTATCTTTGTTTAATTCTTTTGTTAGTTCTATTCAGTTAATTAGTTATATTTTAAATTTTATTATTATGGATAGTCAAAGTTTTCCATTTGTTGCATCAGCTAATGCGTTGGTAAGTTTTTCTTAATAAATATTTAAAAAAAAAATATTTATTATAAATTTATTTAAAATGTTTTTTTAAAAAGTTTTTTTAAAGTTAATATTTTTAGATTAGTAAGGATGCTGTTCCTAGATTACAAGGTAATAAAACTGCACAAAGGTTTATTCAAAATGTCTACCATTTTTTTTTACCGAATGAAAACCCTGTTGAGGTAAGTTGATCATTAAAATGTATTTATCGAATTATGTAAATGTTGTAAATACATAAGGAACTTGCTGTGTCTTATTCTTATTTAACCTCACTTTGACTTCTTAATTTTGTAGAATTTATTCCCACTTTTTTATTTTGTACAATAAATAATTTTATTATTTGTTATCAATACATTATACGGTGTAAATAAATAAATATTGATTGTCGGCAAAGTTCTATTTTATTTACTTTTGTTTACATTAATATTGACTAAGAGCACGTATGCTTGGTTGTATAGTATTTTCCAGCCACTTTGAGTCTGTCAAAAAGTTACTAACTTCGAAAAAAAAATAATTACTAAAATCACTATACAGTTCGGACTGGGAATAGCGAACCGGGTATACCAACAAATCAGGCGATTCGGTATCGATATCAAATTCAGATCGATACAATCGAATTGAATTTAGTAGCCTCGGAGTGATGGTTATGTATGTCATCGGGAGAACAATAACATAACCATAACCTAAATTATTAGAAAATGGTAATTGTGACTTAAATAAATGGAAGAATTAAAATTATTTAAATTAGTTGCAACACATAGATTACCTATGTGTTTTAGGTAAAAATGCATTGCCTAAAAAGCAGTGGAATTTTTCCCAACAGGTATTCAGTTGTCTGTTATAATCTATTAGTAACTCATAATGTTTTTAAACTTATAGTTAAGATTTTTGTTGCAATCACGGAAATCGCACAATCCACACTGTTTTCTCCATTCTTTGGACTTCACATTTACCCTGATATCATCATGAGTTTTCATATGCTGATTTAAATTAGATTTTTCATTGAAATTTTTCTTACATACCCTACAAGTAAAGGCATATTTACTAGCAACTTTGTATACTCTTGGGGCAAGGTGTTCCCCATGAAACTTTCTAATATGTTGCCAATATAATTTTTTGCAAATGTTTTGCAACAAGTTGGGCATTCCATATTTAAAAAAAATGAGTTTAAAAATATGTGTAAGGATTTATATTAACAAAACAAACACAAGTATTTGACTTTGACACTTGACAAACACAGTAGGAAATACGATTCGATTATCATATTTTCCGATGTGATCAAAAACTCTTATTTGAATGAATCGATATCGATCTGCCTGATTTGTTGGTATGCTGTTTAGACGCTAGTCATATCTCTGGTCAATGACGTATAATATATAGACTACGCAGTCCCCTATTCTCGCTATAGAATCGAGTGTCCGAAAGATCTCGGCTCAAGGTTGAAGGTATGTTTATCACAACAGCGGCGTGTTCATTTATATGTTTAATGACAATAATTATTTTTTTAATTAAAATTAAATATTTATGATTTCTTTTTGCTCCCGTCTATAAGAGAATTAATTATATTGATAAAATAGTATGGCATTTTACTAAAATAGTAAGTAAATAACTCTCAACAATTTAAAATAAAATTTGCTTGTCACACAAAATGGAGAAAATGTTTTCATACGTCCATGATGTTTTCAAACACAAGATCAACTTCGTGATGCTTCGTAAGAAATCATGAACTTCGTGCATCTTCGTATCAAAACAATAAACATTAACAAAGGTATTCATGTTTTGGACACTTTTTAAAGCGTTCACCGAGTCTATATATTATACGTCATTGTCTCTGGTTATGTTATGATTTCCAGGCATGTCAAATTTGTGTTTGCGGTATTGCCATGTCCTTATTATGTGTATGTTTTATGCCTCAAATGTGCTTTGAAACAGTACATTTTTATTATATTATTTTATGAAATCGGGTATTTTTTAAAAAATTTAGATTTATATGAAACACGAACGAATGAATTTTTGTTTCTTTTGATATTAGTTGCAGTTAGTTATTAGATTAGAAAAAAAAAATTATAATTGGCCTTTGGTACATTGGTAAATAAACTTGGCAATAATGTCAAATGTAGTTGCCAAATTGCAACAGATGTTTAGCAGATTTCAATTTTATGAATATTTTCTTGTAATTTTGGGTTGAAATGGTATCTGAATAAAAGTTTAAAAAATTTAAGTTAATTTAAATTATAATATATTAAATTTAAATTAATTAAACTTCTTTTAAAATCTTAAAAAGAATGTTTAATAACATTAATTAATATTATATCGCATTCTCTTTCGTGATTTATTTGTGATATGGCAATACTGCCAAGTGCCAAATACAAATCTGTCAGTCATTTGCAACCAACTTCATGGGCACTTTCTCTCTTCCTGTTTAATCACATAATAATTACAAAGAATATAGTAAGCGTCTATATTCTTTGATAATTATATCCATATATCATTATATCATCATTAATTGTAGATAATAAGCCAATCAGTTCTGTGAATGATCTGCATCTAAAGAATTTGGAGTCAGAAATAGCATCCAATTCAATGAGTGAAAATGTAATGGTAAACATAATAGATGTTAAGGTTGAAATGAAGAGAGAACTTGAAGAATATGATAATGGATTTAGTAGTGCAGACATACGATATATGAAGAATGGGTTGTCCACAGAAGTAGATATAACAGATGTTGAAGATGTTAAAAAAGAAAAACAAGATGATTCAGGTGAGATACTAAATTAAACATAATAAATACAACATAACCTGCAATAGTATTTCTAGCATCATTCTTGCA